TTGAAAACTACATTGTACACACGTTTTTCTCTAAAATTCGATGTGCTATAGATTCAGGGAACATGACTTGATTCGCTTTGGAGAACTGCAAAACTAAAAGTTACAAAATTTGTTACAATTTCGGTAACATAATGTTGTTTGAAATCATATTTAGCAACGCTAAATTTCCAAAATTTGGAAAACATGCGCCTATGGTTTCTACCTTGAAATTGTTTTCAATTGCAAATTTCTCTCAACTTTTCCAGAACACCTTTCAAAAAGCGTCACAATTCTAACAGAATTGACGAAGCGCACTCGACACTAGAGAAAAGGATTCTGTGATAAAAACTTAATGTGGTTTAGAATTCACACAAATCTGATTTGTGAGACTTTGGATTTTTCGCATACTTCGTCATGATTCAAAAAGATAATGATACTTCTACGTTTTCTCTTCCAATGTGTTCTAACAGAATAAGCGCGAAAAAAAAAACACTTTTGACATCTTAATTTAGCCTATTTCTTGCTTGTGTTTCGCTCACGTTTTGCCCAGCAAACCATTGGCTGAATCAAGCACAACTATAAATGTGATAGCATTAGAATAATCTATGGGAACCTGCAAGTTTATCAATAAACTTCTTCTTCTAGCTTCCTAGCTTTGCAACTGCCTCTAAGAATGCTTCTAATGAAATTTTGTTCATTCTTAATTTTGAGTTTTGCTTGCTTTTTCCACGTTTCTTCCGGCAAACCACTGGCTAGGTTACAGCACGAGTGTAAAATGATAGCGTTAGAGAAATGTCTATTCGATAAACTTCTTCTCTTAGCTTTCTGAGCACTCTAATGCTCACAAATTTTCAGTGGAAAATTCGGGAAAGTGTATCAAGTGCGCGAAAAAGCGACAGGTACAGAATTTGCAGCGAAAGTGATTCGATTGAAACAGGTCAGGCTTGCTATGCTTGTCACGACATTTCACACCAGTTTTATGTCTTAACACTCACTAATCACACAAGTTTCAGCAAGCAGACAGAGCCGAGGTCGAGCGAGAAGTATCAATACTCACACAGCTCAGACATCCACGTATAGCTCAAATCTACGATGCTTTCTATACAGCCAATAACGAAGTCGTGTTGGTTATGGAAATGTGAGTAGTTCCGTTTTCTTCCTGTGGAGCTAGCTATCCCACAGTAATTTCAACCACATGTATGAGCAAGCGTGCTACGTCACTGAATTCTGCCCTAATCGCGGCTATTTGCAAATGCTGCATGCCAAAATTCGTCAGTTTGTTTAAATGGAGCGTTCCTGGTATTGGCCTAAATCAACTCTTATTGAGCGAAATTCCTCATGAATCATCAGCCTCGGCTCCACAGAGTTACACTGATGAATTTCTATGATGAATGAGCTTTGAGCCAACTATACACACTGATTAAGAATCTGAGGCAATTTTCACTGAGGAATCTAGAAAAGTGAAAATGCAGTAAAATTTCACTATGTTTCCCCAAAATGTTTGGTGCACAATTTTCAAGATAGAACTGGAATTGTTGTTCCTAGAAATCAGGGCAAAGATTTGCAAGAAGAAAATCCGTGAATCCTTTTGATGTACATACTTGTCGTATATGAATACGTATATTATAGTAACTTTTCGCTTATCATTTTTCCATTCCTCGTTATAAAAACACTACAAGAGTATGTATGAACGGCTAAGTGCATTACATAAATGCGAAAAAATTAAAGTATCTAAGGTTATTAGTGGAGAGGATCTGATATTTATGCAATCAAATGATTTAACCTCAAATATTGGTCTCATTATTTACATGGATCTTGATCAAGTAAACATTTCGGGACACTTATAAAGCTTGCTTACTCTGAATGACTGTCCAAAACTCCGTAGAGGGAACTGAGACACATCTAAGTGAGACGGAAATTATGAAACTACATAAGTTGCGAAAGCGTGAAATTTTTCAAAAACTCAAAATTTGATAAGCAAGCAGAAATGGTTATTCCAAGATCAAATCTTTGGTTACAACTATGATTAGGACGGAACTCTCAATCCGCACAATTTTTCACTAGGAAGGAGTATTAACTTCAAAACGGGGATCAATAAATCAACCAACATGATTAGTTGAGACATGAGCGGATGCAAACAAAAAACAATACCGATTGATTGGAACTGATTTGAAGAATCTTTTCCAGAGTGCGAGGAGGAGAACTCTTCGATAGAGTAGCTGATGAAAATTACGTGTTAACGGAGCAAGCAGTTGTGATGATTATATGTCAGCTCTGTGAAGCAATCGACTATATCCATGAGCAAAATATTCTACATCTAGACATTAAGGTAGGTCTTCGTAGTAATTATTGTAAGAATGTTGCCAAAATTTCTAACCACTAATTTTGAAAACAACTTTTTTGTCAACCACAGTACAACTTTCCAGCCCGAGAATATTATGTGCGTGTCACAAACCGGAAATAGAATAAAACTGATTGACTTCGGCTTAGCACGATACTACGATGGAACACAGGTATGGAAAAACTTTGTACAAAGAGTGTAAAACCACAGTTTGATGTCCATGAACTTGTCGGCCGCTCAAAAAAGCGTTGTAAGGATTAGATGTTTTGATCTCGGTTCCTGATGCAAACAGATTTGTAGCCTTATATTTACTCCAGGAACTTCGCTACATGGCAGGAACCCCGGAATTTGCCGCACCGGAGGTTATCAAATATGAACAGCTCGATTACAGTACTGACATGTGGAGCGTCGGCGTAATCACTTATATTTTGTAAGTTTCAACACCTACTGTTCAAGTGTTGTTTGAAGTAGCTTTACTGCAAATTTCGACCGTTACTTTCCTCCCAGTTTCCTAATCTATGAGCCTCTAAAGACCACACATAACAACGAACGATTTCAATAAGCAGATGTGAAACTATGAGGCTGGTTGGTTTGCTTCAATACCAAACATTCCTCGCATTCTATAACGTGCAACAGAAGATTTTTCTTCGTTATTATGTCTGCAGAACCTCAATCGAGCACCACCAATTTGCACACTCTTCTACTAACATTTTTGCATCACATGACTAAGCATGGTTGAGACTAGTAAGAGAATTTGCTTTTATATTCGCTGGGAGTATGCGAAATTATATAGGTGTGATTTTGAGCTTAGATTGAGCGATAAAACTTTGATGAGTCTAAAAAAATGAGGAATGCATCGAAAGTGTTCTCTTTCACTAATTGCTCATTAAAAAGCGAAGAATATAGACAGATTTGTTTGTCAACAGTAGGTTATCATCAAACATCAACATCTGCAAGAACTGTTGTATGAAATTTTGCAGAAACAAGATTCCCTTCGTGGAGAATAAAGCAAACTCTGTACGTAGTAACAAGAGCGGAATTTGGAAGCTATACCTTTTTGCCGATAATTTTTTGGTTCTCGCTGACTTATAGGAATATTCTTGTAATTTTCTTCCGAACATTTGGCGACTGAAGATTGCTAAGTCAGCGGATTGAACAATATAATTGTGGGCGATGTGGCGGATTTTCAACAGCTTTCATTGGCAAACGTTTTGAAAAAAATCTAAAGCTTAAGTCTGAGAAGTTTTACCTTGGTTATGCTCCAGAGTTCGTTAGCTTTTCTAATGTACATGTACCCATTTAGATTATCCGGGTATTCTCCGTTTCTCGGAGAAAATGTCTGTGAGACATACTGTAATGTCGAGAAAGGAGAATGGGAATTTACCGAAGAGTTTGACTCAGTCAGTGAAGAAGCGAAGGATTTTGTGTCACGACTGATTGTTTATGAAAAGAAGTGAGATCCATTCAAACTGCTCCGCGAAAACTTTCGAATAAGTTTCACAATTCCAGAAAAAGGATGCTTCCAAAAGAATGTCTAGCACATCCATGGATAGCTAAACACAGAGCAAAAGCCAACCTTGATACGCTTTTAGAAAAGCCGGCTGAGGGCCCAGCTATGGATAAGAAGCAAATGATGCGGTATAATGCAAAACGAAAATTCAGGGTTAGTTTGAGGTCCCTTCCCTTTTCATGGTTCTTCAGGGGCCTTTTTTTCTGTCATGCGTAATTTGCTAATTTTAATTTTTCTACAGTTCTTTTACGCCTACATGGTGAGTATTGATGAGTTGTGAAAGTTGCTTTATGTCTCAACAAGTTTCTGTTTTGTGATAATTTCTACATGCAAGAGTGTGATGGATTCTTGTGACTTGCCCAAAAATGTTTTAATTCTTGCTTGCAAATGGGAAGAAACAAGAATCCAAACATGAAAAGCATGATCTGCATGTTTGATGACAGCTTTTTTGGATTGAAAAGACCTTTTGTTTCAATTTTTGTTAACATTTATCTTTTCCTCTTATTTTTCTCGAAGTAACAAGTAGCTATTAACTTTTTGTTGACAGTAGCTCCAGCCTTATATAGACTGCCCATCTAAGAGTGTTTAACGAGTTCAGGAAAGTTAGTTGAATCTACGTACATAACATAATACCGTACCCCAAAAGTATAGC